TGAGAAATAGATTGACATTCTTTCCAAGTTAGATCTGGGGCGTGACATCAGTGGTGGGAGATGGTTGAACAGGTGAACCAATGCGACAAATGATGAAAAAATATCTGATCCAGTAGCGCCATTAAGCAAGTGTTACAACGTTAGTTCATTTATTTTGAATATATATATAGTAGCCATCGTCTTCATTTTTAGGGGTTGGCACCTTGTGGAGTCATGAGTGTTAGGAGAGATTATTAGGTGCGGAGTGCGGATGGGGAGAACCATCCGCAACAAGCATTGGCAGGTACCGAGCGGTACCGAGCACCCCCAATACTTGTGCGGACGGTGCGCACTCCGCACCTAATATTTTTTCGTGTGTGAGTGAGTGTGAGGGGCTATTCTCGAGAGGGAGTTGTTTTGTATCTATGGTTGGTATATTGTATTAGTGTAGAGAGCTGCTACGAAGTTGCATCTTAAATGCTGGTCATTTCTAACCTTTTTATTTCTTGTTTATTCGGAGTTTAAAGTTGTAACTTGTATTTTATTAAGAGAAAATATTTATGTTGTGTAACATCGTGTGCATGTGTAGTTAAGTGAAAAAAAAAATATTGGTGTTTAAAGTTGTAGCATGTTCTCTAAATCTATGTTAATGTAAAAAACATGTACTGCTTAGAGTAGGTTGAATCTTTATAATACTCATGCTATTTTTTATTTCTCCATGTTTCATTTGATTTATGTATAGATCATGCATAAATTAAAAATCTAATGTAATCTAGAGCATCGACAAAAGAATAGAAGAACAATTAGAGATTTTAAAACATAGTCCAAGAAGAACATAAACATATGGTGGTTAGGATTATGGGGTCTTATGGAGATAGAAGAATCGTAGCTAGGGAATATCCTAGCTAATGCTCCAACAAGCTCTAGAGATACGATGAGTAATTATGCTCTGATTCACAGCAATAATAAATAAAAAATCACTCTATTGCAATCATCATTCTTCTCATCAATATATTACTTGAAATGACATATGCACTTAGGTTAAATATGACTTACATCATATAAAAATTAAACATTCTTTAGAGAACTCAATAGTGTGTATAAGCTAAAGTACAAAGATCTTAATTTGCATACCTAAAAATAGCTCTGTCAACACTCAATTAACAATAAGCCTGCGATATTTTAAGATCATTTAGTTATCTAATTAATGCCTCAAAATTTTTAGTCAAGCTTTAAGTGCTTAATATGTGCTCATTTAGACTTGAATTAGATCAATTTTTGTGTTGTGTCAATTGGTACGCTCATCACGACATTCAGTTCAATTATAAATTTGTTGAAATTAGAGTTTGGATGATCATGTATCTAATTCTAAAAATTTTCAATTCATATATGCATCAAGCTTAGTATATGATCAAGCTGATTTTTGTGCAGTGTGTCAATTATAATCAAAATTATATGACAAAAACACATGTAATGCCTTAAGATAACTGCCACCTAGAGCCTCCCTCCTCGCAGTGCTTTTATTCTGTACGGACATCGGACGGGAGAACCGTCCGGTTAAGCACTGGGTATCCAGCGGTACCGAGTGCGGGTACCAAGCTGGATACCCACCAATGAGATGACGTGACATATTTTTATTGGTCTCCGGACGCCATCCGCACTCCGCGCAGAATAATAAATCCTCATAACATGATGAAATTACATGTAGCACCACATCTTATTTCTACCCCTATTTTATGATTGCATGATTTAGGACAGTAGAATCAAATGCCTCGCCCGACGAGAATCATGCTGCTTATAACGTGATCTGATCATGATTTCCTATTCTTCTTAAAAACATCGTTGTCCTTTGTAACTTGCTCCTCTTCTTTTTCTCCAAACACTGCTCATCCAATCACATCTCCCTACTGCACTTCTTCATTAAATGTTGCTAGTCCCATTACAAGTTCCTCTTCTTCTTCAAACAACATTGATGTAGGAAGATAGACGTCAAGAAGATATCAAAAGAGCAAAATAGCTCAAAGAACCAAACATTGAAAAATACTATATTTTTCAAAAATATTTCTTAAATCAACATTCTTCCTTACAACAATTAGTATATATAAATGCAATAAAAAATTCTAGAAGATTTTAGAAAGCATGAACTAAAGCTAAATAAGGATATACGATTCCTAACGCATCATAATCCTAAGATGCACCACATCATACATGGGTCACATCAATAATTTTTCCGACAACCTCTCGTCGCAACTTTGCAACCTCCTTGCCATCGTCGATATGAGTTTTTGTCGTGACATTCCCATAATGGTTTGTCATTGTTCTCAAACTCATGAGTTGAGCTTGAATTTGTCATTAGCCACATGAACCAAATTCAAGCTCAATTTATAGGCAAATTATTACGTTTGGTGTTCGGATTCGTCCGGACACCAATCCAGACATGCCACGTCACTAAAATATACCGGGACCTAGTATATTTGGGTGACGTGGCACGTCTGGATTGGGTGTCCAGAATAATTCGCCAATTTTTATGAGCTTGAATCAAGCTCAAGTATATTATGACCTGAGGTCAATTTTGCTATGAGACGAGATTCAACTCAACTCATTTACACCCGCAATCATCATAAATAATCCCTCTAAACTATAGCAAGCCTTGAAGTTCATTCTTTAGAGTACACAAAATATATCAAAATAATCTCCTAAATTCTTTCTACAACCACCCAAGTACTTTAGAAAAGTATTTCGCATGCATTAAATTTTCTTACTATATTTATATTGCACTTTCATTCATTTGGAATCAACCCAACAATAGTAAGTCTATAAGAGCCCGGAACACAGTTTAGTGCCCCCCCGCCCACTCAAAGCCAAAGCCATCGTTGAAGGCTTCATCTTCTTCCCTCGCCGCCCTGCTTTGAAACGCCAACATGACCAACTTATCACTCGATCCACTTCTCTCCTATCTCTTTCTCCTCCTCAGCGTCTCCTCAACTCCGGCCGCCGCATTCAACTTCATCTTCCTCAACTGCGGCTCCTCAGAATCATCCACAGCCCCAGACGGCCGCAACTGGACAGGAGAATCCACTTCAAGCATTACCGTCACGCCGAACACGTTAAGCCTCCAGGCCAAAATCCTAGACTCCTCCGTTCCATACCTTCCCTACGGAACCGCGCGACTCTCATCGTCCCCTTTCAGCTACTCCTTCCGTTTTCCCCCTGGCCGCAAGCTCATCCGCCTCCATTTATACGCCGGTGACTACGGTAACTACTCCGCCGCCGATGCTCTGTTCTCCGTCAAATCCGGTCCTCACACCCTCCTTAACAACTTCAGCGCTTTGCAAACCTCCCAAGCCCTAGTCATCTCCTACATCGTCCGCGAGTATTCAGTAAACTCCTCCTCTCCACTCCTCAACCTCACTTTCATCCCCTCCACATCGCACCCGTCCTCATACGCCTTCATCAATGGCATCGAAGTCGTCTCCTCGCCGGATATCTTCAACGGAAGCATCCCTCTCATCACCAATATCGATATGCCTCAGCCGTACACCGTTGAACCCGACTGGACTCTGGAGACGGTCTACCGACTCAACGTCGGTGGCAATTTCATCGGACCGATGGAAGATTCCGGCCTGTTTCGAAGTTGGGAGGACGACTCGATCTACATATACGGCGCCGGATTTGGCGTAACCTACGCCGCCGACAGCAACGTTTCAATTCGGTATCCGGCGAACCTGCCGGAATTCATAGCTCCGTTGCAGGTTTATGCCACCGCCCGATCAATGGGTCCTTCCGCAACAATCAATTCGAACTATAATCTCACATGGATCCTACCCGTAGACTCCGGCTTCTATTACTTACTAAGATTTCATTTTTGCGAGATCCAATATCCCATCACTCTTGTGAACCAGAGAGTGTTCAATATATTCATATATAACCATACAGCCTTTGAAGGCTTCGATGTTATTGCAGAATCCGGCGGCATTGGAGTTCCTACCTACACAGATTTTGTCGTTGCGATTCCAAAGCAAGCAGAATCTGACGATATGGTTGATCTCTTCGTAGAGCTACACCCCGATTTGTACGCCCAACCAGAGTACTGGGATGCCATCTTGAATGGCCTTGAGGTCTTCAAATTGGAAGCAGGTGGCGACACCCTTGCTGGGCCTAATCCGATGGTGTCAATAACTCCAAGCAGAGATCAAAATACCAACGCAATTACAAGAATAATCAATTCAAAAAAAGTTAAAATTCGATCGATTGTAGAAATAGCCATCGGTGTAGGTGGCCCTGTTGTGGCTCTTCTTGCATTCGCCTTACTTTATCTTCTCCATTCGAAGAAGAAAAAATCTCTTACATCAGATTCACCCCATTCAGATCAATCGAACCTGATCAGCTCCACCTATTGCAGGCAGTTCTCGTTCGCAGAGCTTGTACAAGCTACCGACAGCTTCGACGACGCCCTGATCATCGGTTCAGGCGGATTCGGAAAGGTCTATCGCGGAACCATCGACGGCGGGGCGAAAATAATTGCCATCAAGCGCGGGGGGTCGCTTTCCGGTCAAGGGATCGATGAGTTTCGCAATGAGATCAAGACACTTTCAAAGCTGACGCACCATCACCTCGTCTCTCTCCTCGGGTACTGCCATGACAGCGCAGAGTTGATCATAGTCTATGAGTACATGCCGTTGGGAAATTTAGGCGACCACCTTTACGGCAAGAAGAAGAAAGAGCTGATTCCATGGGTGCGACGGCTCGAGATATGCATCGGCGCGGCCAAAGGGATTCACTATCTCCACACCGGAGCGAAGCCGGCGATCATCCACCGCGATGTGAAAACGTCTAACATATTGCTGGATGAGGATTGGGTGGCCAAAATATCGGACTTTGGGCTGAGCAAAGACGGGCCGGAGGATCTTGGGCTCAGCCATGTGAGCTCAGCGGTGAGGGGGACGATGGGGTATCTGGATCCGGAATACATTATGCTGATGCAGTTGACGGAGAAATCGGACGTTTACGCCTTCGGGGTAGTGCTTCTGGAGGTCATTTCGGGTCGGCCAGCGTTGGATCCGGCGAACGCGGAGGAGGAGAATTTGGTGGATTGGATTCGGCAGTGCCGGCGTGAGGGTGATGTGGAGGTGATAGTGGATCCCGACTTGAGGGGAAGTGTGGGAGAACGTTGTTTCGAGATATTTATGAGGACTGCAGAGAGCTGCGTGTTGGATAAGAGGGTCGAGCGGCCGGCGATGGGTAATGTGTTAAGAGATCTGGAGCTTGCTCTCCACTTGCAACTTAAGGATTTTGCAGAGGAAGCCATTAATGAAGAAAAAGCAGCCGGTCACGAAGCTTAGCATATTGTTTAGTGCTTAATCTTTCAATGAGTAGATCAATAATTCAAGATTTTATATTAAAAAAAATTATTCAAAATGTTATAATGCAAAATAAATTAAGATGAGTTTCAACGTATAATGCAAAATACATTAAATTAGCTTCAATAATATCTGTAATACTATATACAACATTAATCTTAACACAAAACGAGTATTTTTAAAGTTTATTCTGATGCATATTTTGCATCAGAATATTTTAATATAACTTTTTCTTTTACACATACGTCTATAAATTTGTAATTAATTCTTTGAAAATCTAAAAAAAAAAATCTAAAAAAAAAACAGTAGTCTATCAAAATAAATATTGAAGATCAAAGATGACTAGAAATCATATATATATATATATATATATAACTCAAAACCTCAATGGTCGTTGGTCCTGTCACTCGCGTCATTAGGAGAGATTATTGCGTTCGGATACCGGACACAACTTACGTTCAGTACTTCACAGTACTGAGCTCGGTACTGTGAAGTATTGAGTACCGAGCATTACTGAGCTCGGTAATGAGCAGTACCAAGCTCGGTACTGCTTAGTACTGCTCAGTATCGAGTAGGAGATGATGTGGCACATTTTCATTGAGCTCCGAACACGTCTGGTGTCCGAACCCAATAAGTTGCCCGCCGTTAGAGATGTTAATACCCTCACCTCTAAGCTCATCCGCCACCTACCTATAAGCTTCGTCATCACAACCAACCTACGAGATTGACTTATCTCCTATAAGCTTGTCACCTTGCTTGCCTAGCATTACTATCAAACTCAGTGGTCCCATTAAACCACGTGCATGTGAGCTCCTCTCCTTATTGATGCCATCACTTGCAAGTTCTGGCAAGATCAAGCTAAATCTATGAACGGGGTTTTGTATTACAAAAATAGTAAAATTTGTATGTGGAATATATAAATTAGCACTACTAAAAAGAGGGGATAAACGCAGTATTGCGTAGCTTGCTATATGTTACATATAGCAGCAGTTTTAACTACTATAATTATTACCGGTTAAAATCGCCACTAAAAGCAAAGGTTTAAACCACTAGCAAAGGTGTTTATTTTATTTCCTTCCTAGACCATGCCCTAACCGACATTGCTTGACCTCACCTATATGTTTGTTTACACGCTCATCGTTCATCATTGCCCAAATCATGCCAATCCTGCTCGTCTTGCATGTTCCCGCCTCCATCTCACAGGCCCGACTTCATCACATATTTGCATTTAATACATTAATATCACAAGTCAAATGTGTACATTAATCTTTCAATATTCATGCATCAAAAAAAATATACCACATGCATACATCAACAAAATATAGAAAATGTAAATTGACCAATGTAGCATTTTATTTTGCGTCAAATACATATATAGACGAGGTATATAAAATTACTCAACCATATAAAATTTGGCGAGTTAACATGCATGCAAAAACCCATTTCTTTTCAATATGTAACATCAACCTAATGCTATTTTCATTCATCATGTATTCTTGATACAATTGGTAGAAGAAAAACTAACATTATTTCATTTTCTCCAAAGAAACTATATTCCTTTTAACATAATCATCCTATTTTTTATTTGATATGGTAATATTTCCTCCAACAAACTCAAAAACTCGTAACATTCAAATATAAGTGAAATACTAAAATGTAGTCATGAATGTAAACACGTCATCATAATTATATGCTCTTTGACACCGACTACACTTTAAAAAATGCAAACATCTTTTCTATCATTGATAATAGGTGATTGATTTAATACATAATGAAAGGATTAAGCATTAAGAATGATTCTCAAGTCGTCAAGAATCTATCATCACCATCTATATAAACCTCAAATAAATCGAGATTAATGAAAAAGGAAATTTATGTTACCATTATTGTAGGATATATTCATAAGTGAAAGCAGTATATCAACAAGATATTACTTAATATGGCGAGCTTTAGTAATTACATGGTGCCACATTTCATTGGGTCAAAATCGTATCCAATAATGATGCACATATATGCATGAAATTAACTTGCTCAATCTAATTACCATTTATTAAATACGAGAGCATGAATAAACATATAATCACCTCAATTTTAATCAAACTTCATGAAATACAATATCATCCGTTAAGAATCAATGCCAACACATTATTCCAATATTAGCTCAACAAAGAAATACACATACATCCAACGAGAAAGGTTGAAACATATTCATAAATTTGAAGGAAGATGATGAGGTAGAGAGTATTTTCATGACAAAACTTCTCTCCTCTAAGAAATAAATGATGCTCATTAATTTTTCAACCAATGATTCATAAATTTTATACTCTCTTTTGATCTTCTACTACGAGTAATTGAAATATAACAATTGATGATGAAAGCGATATAAAAAATGGTTAGACGATAAAATGGCAAGGATGTAGTGGTGAGCAAACATATTTTATTCATAGCATATGTGAATCACATAACCAACAAAAGTAAGCATGAAAAAATGAAATCTACTTCCAATAAATAAAATCAATTTCCAATAAATGAAATAAACTTCCAAAACTTTTCTGATTAAATACTATAATAAGCTAAACAAAAAGTGACATCTAGGAAACTATTCCAATGGAAAATATTCCCTAATTTTCCATTCTTGAACAATAAATAGAAGCGTATAAAAAATTCGTGTTTATATATATACATTAAAACAAGTTTGAACTTTATGGTTTTCATTTACAAAATAAATGTAGGAGAGATTATTACATACGGAGTATGGATAGGAGAACTGTTTGGATTTTATGAGTGTGCACAATAATAGAGCATTGTGCCCAGTAATTACATTTTTACTATATTTTTATAACACACGCTTATAGAATCTGGACGAAGCTTCAGTCCGTACTCCATACGTAATAATCTCTCCAAATGTAAAGTGCTACTTCTTGTTTTCCTTGAGGAGAAAAGGGTGAAGACTTCTTTCCATTCTCAGATTTCAATTAATAAGGAAAGCTAGCATTTGAAATCTTCACCTATTAGTTAATAAATTAAAGAAGGTATACAAAGATCAAAGAAGAATAGAGCTGGCCGAGAGGCTCAAAATGGCCTCTCTTTCCTTCTTACTTTTCTCGATCTTCTATTAGTAGAGAAGGAAGTGGAACGACCCAGCTCAAGAAACTACAAATACAAAACCATTTTATGTTATGTATGGATATAGCTTAGATGCCTATATAAGACTAATGTAATCAAACATTATGTGTATGAAAAGGAATACACAGCTTTCTGCTTTATCTTCCTTTGTTCTATATGCTTTATCGCTCTTACAAGATAACATGGTATCAGATATTTACTGAATTTTTTCTCTCTCTCAATATCTCCCCGATCTATGTGTGTCAAAGCTGCTAATGGATGATTCTTCCTCCTCACCACCTACTGTAGACTCAACGCCCTCATTCAATCCGATCTCAATTCCACCTCAGCTCAACTTCTTGATGATCAATATCAAGAACTTAGTCAAAACTCCCTTAGCAGCTGACAATTACCACATTTGGAAGTCTCAAGTGGAAAAAGTCTTCAATGCAAATGGATTCAAAGGATTTCTTGATGGCACTTCTATGTGTCCACCGAACATCTCCACCACTGATGAAAATTCTTAGTCTAACAACATGTCATTACATGACAATTGGGTACTAATGGATCAAAATTTTGTTGTAGCACTATACTTGGCAATATCTCCATTTATTCTACCATATGTGCTCTCCCTCACATATTGCAATGAAATATGGACAACTCTAGCTCATCATCTTCAATCAACAACACGATTACGTGTTATACACTTAAAAAATGAACTTCATTATTTATCTAAGGGAGACAAATAATGACTCAATATCTACTTCATGTTAAATCCAAGGTAGATGCCAAAATTGCAGGAGGCAGCAATATTTACCCCGATGATGTGATTCTTTACACCCTCAATGGTCTTCTCACTTTATATCAAGCCTTCAAAAAAGCAATCCGCACAAACCCACAAACCCTAAGCATAGATGAATTGTATAGCCTACTATGCACCGAAGAAAAGAATATTGCTCAAGAAGTTACAAAAGATCTCCAATCCTTACAACAGGCAGATCACACAATAGCCCTTACTGTTTCTAACGGACAAGGTCAAGGTTGATTTAATCGTGGTCGTCGCAGCAGAGAATCACTTCTGCCGACTGGTAGAGGAGATAAGTCAACAAACAAAAACATCACCTGTAAGATTTTTAACAAATTTGGTCACTCTACTATCAGATGTTGGTATCAGAATGATCCAACGTATACTGGCAACTCAACGACATCAACTCTATTCAGCACATCTAAAGCTTCTCGGTAATAAGATTAGTATCTTGATAGCATTGTATCAACCCACTTAGGACCCAACACATCTAAATTAAGCTCAATTGAATTGTATGCTAGGACATCACAAGTTATTATCAGCAATTGTCAGCCACTGCCAATTCAACACACAGATAAAGGCTTACATCCTACTCCAACAGGTAATCTTTATCTCCATAAAATCTAACGTGTGATGAATATTTCATTTAACCTTCTCTCAATACATCATCTAACAAGTTATAATGATTGCATTGTATCGTTCTCATCCATTGTATATCAAATAAAGGATTCAAAGAAAAATCAAATTCTACTTCAAGGTCCCTACCATAATGGCCTCTACATGGTCCGTGCTAAATTGACTTCCCCGGATCTTGATTTATAATCATTTTAGTCCATACCTAACCTATGGCATAGTCAGCTTGGGCATCCAACAATAGCTACTCTACAAAAACTAGCTCATTTCAATTCACATATATTTACCTCTCCCTCTACTATGAAATGTAATACTTGTTGTCTTGCCAAGAGTAGACGATTGTCTTTTCCCAATTCATTCTCCACCACAACTATTCCATTTGAAATAGTTTGCTTTGATGTATGGGGTCCTTCCCCTTCCAAATCAATACAAGGATATCATTACTTCGTTTCTTTTATTGATGACTATATCAAATATTGTTGGATTTTTTCTCTACTACAAAAATCTAAAGTAACACAAAAATTCATTATGTTCCACAAAATGATCAAATGTCAATTCAATAGTGTTATACTCACTATTCAAACAGATGGTGGGAGAGAGTATCTAAATAATACATTTCAAACC